GGAAGAAGACGTTAAAATGAAGAAACTATACTACGGAACATGCTACAATCATGAATTTAAATAAATTAATCCGGGCACATGCATTATAACAACTTGCTATGACACACGCTGCATTGAAAACACCTCAGCTTTAAACACGGAACATCAACATATTATTTCAACTAAAAAATCATTTGAGATGGTCTGCAAAAACGAACAAAATGCATATTATCCGCTTGACACAGAAAAACTCTTTAAATTTATAGAATTCATGATTGAAAATGAAACAAACTTATATCACACAAATCTTTCGCGAACACAATATTTCAACCTACTTCTACTCTTATCCGAATATGAGTTTGAGCAAAAAAATAGCTGCGATTGGATGGTTCAGTTGCTAAAGGCATATGATGATATCGATTTGGAAATAGATGAATATCGCTGGAATTGGTTCAATGCGTGGAAATTGCAAAATAAACCAAGCGCAAAACAATTCCTGATGAAAAAAAGGGGAAAAAAATCATGGAGTAATTTCACAGATTGTATGATGATTTCAACAAATGATGACCACGCCCTACCAGCAGTAACGCCGCCAGAAAGAAAAAAAACGAAAATTGAAAAACCGCGAAAATATTCATTAAGAAAAGGAGAAAAATGTTTGTGGAAGTAACGGACACATAGTTTATAAGGATAGTAAAACAAACGGACATATCATAATATCGAAAAACATTCCGTAGAATAGAATATATAAGACAGAATGGTAATGGCCGTACTATATAAATTAACCTTTCTTTATCATGGAAATCAAAACACAAGCACAACTTTCAATGAGAACAATTTTATAAAACTTATAAATAAATTAAAACTAGAAGGCGCGATTGAAGAAAGCAAATACGATCTCTTTCGCAACTTTATCATCATAGAAGAAAACAGAACAATATTGCTTCTCGAGAAATACGCAAGAAAAATCATATCAAGAAAACAAAAGGTACAAAAGAACATTAAAGACAGGAATCTTTCAGCAGTAAGAATATCAAAAACAATCAATGTATAAAGATTATATTGTAACATCAGTACTCTTTATAATAATATTGGCAATGTATATGAGATATATTATATAATACGTAAAAAAACTATTCCTATAAAAAAGGTGTTAAAATAATACTAAAAAAAGTTCAATTTGTCCTTAACCGAGTACTGAATCTTTGCGGCACAGCCATAGCGTATCCACGCCTTCGTTATTTAACCAATGCACACGACCTTGATTAAACCCTAAACAACACATCATGCTTTAAGGTTTTAAAAATAAAACTGCCTATACATATAGTCTTATGGGCAGCTAGAAACCAACCTTAATATAATATTTGTTCAATTTCTTCTACTTGTTCCGTGGTCAAGTAGGCGCGCATTTGCTCGAACGAACATCTCTGGCTACATATCCACATGCAACAACACGGTATCCGACGCATTCTAGGTCTGTACTCTCGCCTTTCTTGAACCAATGCACCACCCACCGACACTCCTCGTCTTCACACCGTCTCATTTTCTTTATTCTATTGATTTTCATAGTAAATTGTTCCAACAACTCCAATAATTTGATATTAATTCTGGACATGAGTACCGATCAAACAGCGCTTCACTTGCAATGCGAGATTTAGTAAACACAGTTATATTTTATCACGACAGTGATATCCGTCAACGCATCGATTTTCTCAATTTTTTCCCACCTTCAATCGATTCGCATTAATGTCGTTTAGCGAACATAATCAACTAATATTAATATCACGCGTAAGTATTATTACACCTCTAAGCACTGAACCCGCGGCGCACTCTTTTTTGACATTAATCGCATTTTTTTGTCTACACGTACACTGGAATGCCACTGTCACCGATCAACGCATCGGTTTTCTTTTCTCCTCACTTTTGAATCGCATTAATCTCGTTTGGCAAACATAATGAACTCATATTAATTAGTATCATAACCCGCGGCGCGCTCTTTTTTGACACCCGGCTAATCGCAATTTTTTCGTGTACACATACACTGTCTTATTCTTATTGACCTTCATGACAAATCGTTTAATCACCTGCAATAATTTCATATTCATTTCGCAAAAAAGCATCAAACCAGTGCTTCACTTGAATTGCAATGCGAGATTTACTAAACAGTTTTATTTCATCACGTCAGTGATATCCGTCAACGCATCGGTTTGGCTCAGGTTTTTTCCCACGTTTAAATCGCATTAATCTGGTTTGGCCAACATAATGAACTAACATAGGTATAACGCATAATTATTATTAAACCTGTGAACTTTATTGACCTTCATGACAAATCGTTCAACAACTACAATAATTTCATATTCATTTTGTAAAGAAGCATCAAACCACCGCTTCACTTGCAATGCAAGATTTACCAAACACAATAGTTTTATTATATTACATCAACGCATTTTTTTCCGTCTACACCGATTTACTTCGTCTACACTGGAATGCCATCGTCACCCATCAACGCATCGGTTTTCTTTTCATCTCGCCTTTGAATCACATTAATCTCGTTTGGTAAACATAATGAACTAATATTAGTATCATGCATAAGTATTATTAAACCCGTTCTCCCCTGGGCGAATTTATTCGCGCGAACAGAAAAAAAGTAGGAAGCGATTCCACTTTTTCGCAGCGAATTTATCCGCAAACCGATTATATCACCGGATTTCAGATATCACTTTGTGTCCAGCGAAAAAATTCGCCTAGTGGAAAACGGGCTTTAAACGTGTAAACCCGCGACATGCTCTTTTTTGACACTGATCGCAATTTTTTTGTCTTCACATACACTGGAATGCCATTGTCACCCGTCAACGCACTTTTTCACAGTCTCATTCTCTATATATTTTCATGACAAATCGTTCAACTAACTCCAATAATTTCATACTCATTTTCGCAAGAAAGCATCAAACAACCGCTTAACTTGCAATGCGAGTTCTACTAAACACATTTTAATTTTACTACGCTATCGTTACCCGTCAACGCTTCGACTTTTTCCCCCCACCTTTGACCCGTATTGAGGTCTTATGTATTAAGTATCATGAACATATCACGCATAATACACGTGTGAACAGGCACACTCTTGTGTTTTTTGACACTGATCGCAAATTTTTCGTCTTCACATACACTGGAATGACATGGGGACACGTCAACGCACTTCTTCACATCCTCTGTTGTTTCATCCTCTTTATTTTATTGATTTATATGACAAATAGTTCAAGCAACTCCAAAAATTTCATATTCGTTTTCGCAAGAAAGCATCAAACAACCACTTAACTTGTAATTCGGCTTTTACTAATCACATTTTAATTTTACTACACCATCGTCAACCGCGACAGTGATCGGATATTTTCCCTCCGCACCTTTGACCCTGCTATGACGTCATTCGGCGAACATGACACCACCATCATCACGTGCATAAATATTAGCGCGAAGTTCAAATTCACTCAGTCGGCTCAACCAAGGCTTCGGGTAACATCTCCTTCGCTCCGTCACCACACGCTGATGTGTGACCTGTTTACCATTAACTTGATTTAATTAAGTTAATATCTTTAATACAGGTCACATGACACGCAAACGTGAACCAGCACACTTCCTTTTTTTCACACTGATCTCATTTTTTGAACAATCTGGACGGTTAATGTTATGGTACCCCCGTCCGTAGAGCATGATTTCTTGCGTAAACAGGATGTGACGTCACTTTTTGTAATACTAAAATATAATAAAAGTGTGCTGGTTCACGCTCCCCCCCCAAAAAAAAAAAATCACATCTACTACTACGGGCTCTACCACAATGGGCAGATCATTAGTTTGTGCCTCAATGGGCTCTACCACAATGGGCAGATCATTAGTTTGTGCCTCAATGGGCTCCACCACAATGGGCAGATCAATGTTTGTCACCCTCATAGGTGATGTTGTTGCTTTTTGCTGCGTAAGCAGCTTATTGCCATTTTTTGTGTGTCAATGTCTACTTCAATTGTGTTATTTTGTCCCTCAAAGGGTTCCACAACAATGGGTAAATCACTATTTGTCATTGGAGATGTAGTTTTTCCCTGTACAGGACATACCTCATACGAAAAACCATTTGACATGTTCGTGCAATATGAAACACTAACATATGTTGCTAAGTTTTCCACAGACAAAAAATCTGCACCTGACGGTAAGACTATAAAGCCCTTATTAAGAGCTTTTATGTACATTTTGTCCCCTTGTAATAAGACATTATTAAATGTAATCTTCGACCACAACGATAAGGGAAAATTCCGGGCCGTAAGAAGCGCCGGTAAACTCATAAAAGCACATTGTTTACCTCTCGAGTAAATACTAAAAAGTTCATCACCTTGATGGACATCCGCAGAAAAGAAAAAAACCATACTTACCTTGTATTTTAGGGAAAATTTTGTTCAATAACTTGGCAGTTTGCATTCGCACTCCAGCACATCGATGTTGCACCAGATTGCACACGCGTTACAATTTAGAAGATATAATCCGTACGTCCCCCTTTAATTTTTTAAACATACGCACGCTTAATTATTCCCCCGGAACAAAAATCTTTCCGGACAGACAGGAACGAATCCAAATTTCGACAATACATAAATGCGCGCAAAATCCTGGGTCGAGAGCAACTACTCAAAGTCATTTGGTTACTACTGGAAGAATTGGAAATCAAAGCGTTGAATAGTTTTGTTGATAGTCCGAGGTTTTATTACAGATTTGTGGATGACACGATCACAGCACTGAAGAAATCGCAGATTTCTAACTTCCATGACCATTTGAACACTCAAAGTGATCACATTAAGTTTACAGTGGAGAGATATAATAAGAAGGAAGGCCTTGCGTTACTTGATACGCTAAATAAAGTTAGTGATGATGGTATGATCCACACAAAGGTACACTGAAAGCCGACGCATTCGGATCGATATTTACCGTTCGATTCCCATCATCCAAGGCAGCATAAGAATGCGGTTGCGAGGACACTCTTTATGAGAGCAGTTGGCGTATGTAATGATGCGAAGGAGAAAAAGCAAGAAGAGAAACGAGTATATAAAGTTTTGAGAGGCAACGGTTACCCTAAAGAAATGTTAACGAGAATTTGTAGGGAAATTGGAAGTGGTAATTTATCAGTGGGCGATGCTGAACAACCAACAGACCTGGATAAGGGCAATGGTTTAGTAGTCCTTCCGTATATTCAAGGTACAACGGAACGATTAAAACGGACATTAATTAAAAACGGATTTAAAGTTGCAATGAGGCCGGTATGCACGTTGAAAAAACAGTTAGTAAAACCAAAGGATGTATTATCAATCCAAGAACAGACAGGGGTGGTGTATAGCATCCCCTGTGCGGGCTGTGATGTAGAATACATTGGTGAAACAGGACGAGCTTTTGGAACGCGAGAGAAGGAACACAAGGCAGCAGTCCGTTTGGGGAAGATTGAAAAGTCAGCTTTGGCTAAGCATGGGTATGATTGTGAGCATGGTATAGCATGGAACGATTCAAAATTATTATGTAAAGAGAGCAGATGGGCGCAACGTAAATGGAAAGAAGCATGTATGATTGAGCAATCGGGTAACAGTATTTCGAACAGAGATAATGGTAGGATACTTCCTGATGTTTATAAGCCGATTTTAAAGAAATAAGAACTATGAACTATTGTCATTCTTTAAACAGAGAGTACTGTGTTATATAATTGGGCTTTTGGTACCCTTCCTCTTAGGTTTTAACTTTTTAACTTATATTATAATTATTAATGTATGCACATTTGTAGACCGTATTTAAGGCTAGAATTTGTTTTACGCCAGTTATTCCCTGATGATGGACGCGTTCGTCCGAAAGCTTAGAAAAGTTTGCTTTTAATATTTTACTAGTGTAACATAATATATATGTTTTTAATCATGAGAGTTCCGAGTAACATAACTACATTACAGTATGTATAATTTTGTGTGTGTCACCTAATTTTCAAGGCTTAAATCACCAAACAGGAAAAAGCAGAAGTGTTATTCATAAAACCAACCTGAAAGGTGCAGTAATTAAGTAGTAAAAAAGGAAAAGGATGAAGTTTTGTTTCACACATTAAATACATTGGTTGTAGATCCACCAGACCCTTCCTTCATATGTAGTATACCCCCAAGATGTGTGATGAGTAACAGAGCATTCATTAGGGCCATTTATACGAGTGAAAATAAGCAGGGGCCTAAATAAGCCGCGGCTTAAATAAGTCGCGAAGAGTCGTATAAATGGACAATTTGTTCGCGACTAAAATAAGCCGCGGCCTAAATTAGCTGAGGATTCAGGGCTTGTCCAAAATAAGCCGCGGCTAATTTAAATCGCAAAGCTTCAGTATAAACGCTTTCGCGACCAAATTATACTTCAAAACATGGCGTCCAGTATCGACTGCATAGACGTTCCTGCCGTTACCATTGCAAAAACAGGCTCTTGCCCGTCTGTAGTCACGCCAAAAGCTAAGCGAACGACGTGGCCACAGTCAGAAGAAAGGCAGTTTCTTGTCATATGCGCAGAAAATGCAATTGCTGAACAACTGGACAATTGTGTCACTTCTGCTGGGGTATGTGCTCTTTCAACTTTTTCTCCCAGTATTATTTACAACTTAAAAACACACAGACACAAAAACAAAAATATAACAAGCTATCGTAATCAGCAATAGAAATAACATTTGTCATTTGAAAGGCAGCTAATGCAACAAAATTAAATGTTTGTTGAGTTTTCATTGCCATTGGTTTTGTTGATGTTGTTTTAATATTTTATTTGTGGAGTTTATATAATTTCGCTCATATAACTTCCAGAGGCGATTGTACTTCAACACTTCCTGTGTTAGTGCAAGCTTTGTGGCCAAACCAAGTTCGGAAGTGAAAAGATAACGCAAAATCGCTCTTTTTCTCAACAGTATCGCTCTCTGCGTTGCTTTTTTCCTTGTGCGAGCCATGTCACAGTTCCTCTGTGGCCATGTTTACAAATATTGCGACGTCAAATTGCGATAGCGACTTGCGAGAGTCGTTTATACGACGGTTTGTGACCAATCACATTCATTTTTTTAAAATGCCGTATAAACGCAGTCTTCGCGACTTATTTAAGCCGTGGCTTATTTAGGCTGCGGCTTATTTTCACTCGTATAAATGGCCCTATTGTTGACACTTCAAAGCTCAAAAATCATGATGTCCTTGCTGATGACTGTGGGTCTTGGATAAATTACGGTCAGCATCAGTTCTTTTATCAGATCAACGAGGAAGGAGTATATGAAAGGGTAGGCAGGAGAGCATCATTTGATACTAGTAACCTCACCAGAAACTGGTTAACTATACACAGGCGTTACTATGATCACAAGGATTCTCGCAACGCAACTGGAGCACAAGATTTTCATCGCATTGTCTCATTTGTCACAGGTAGGTATTGTAAAGGAGTACATAACATATTATCCATGTAACAAAAAGCAACTGCATGCACCCATATCCTTAACGTAGTAGCAATTTAGTATTACAATGGTTGATAAAGGTTTCTATATACCCGTAGAGGAAGCGCCAAATCAGTGTTGTGTGTTAAGGCCAGCGCACACTAGAGCTATGTGCTTAGCAAAAAGTCATTCGTGGCCATCGGCGTAAGCCAGTTGCTCTCGTGTGCGGGCTACTTTTCCGGCGACTTTTGGCACGAATGACGTAAGTCACTAGAAAAGTCGCCCGCACACGAGAGCAACTGGCTTATGCCAATGGCCACGAATGACTTTTTGCTAAGCACATAGCTCTAGTGTGCGCCGGCCTTTAGCCTTTCTTGCCTTGCATTGCAAGAACAAAAACTTTACTGTTTTACCAGGTTTTCAGGATCAGACTCAAGTTTGACTTAGACTGCAAGCCTCATTCAATTTCTCATCAAAGTCCGTTTATTTGGTCAGTTAAGACGCAGTCAAAACAACTACCATATTCAAATATCTTTGCTACTACTTGACAACATTATCAGATTACGTTATAAACTGTTACTTTCAAATGACAAAACTTTGGGTGTTCCAAACTCAAGCAGGGAGCGCAGTACTGCATAAAGCTTAAACAAATATTTTATCGAACAGTGAAATGGTGTTGCCATAACTACAATCTCTTTACTAGGTCCCTTTTATGTAAAATCAATATGAGTTGTTTTCAACTTAAAAGTACAAGTTTCACGTCTTGCTAGTGATAAATTTCTAGTTTCCACTTCAGTCGTTATGGCAAGGCTAGTTTTCCACTTTAATAGTATTGTTGCATAACGTACCGCATTCTTCGTGCAGAGGTCGTTAGTTCTTGTTTAATTAAAGGACAATGGCAATCAATTTTTTTATTGTTTAATGTTATATGCTATCTCTTTTGGTTGCGAAGTTATACGAGTTTGAAAACATAAAACATGCGCCATTGTGAAAAAATATAGATTGCTGATTCAGCGCAAATTATGACGTTATTGGATGGGTTGTGGATGTTTTCAATATTCAAATTCATCATAGCTCAGTTACTATTCATTCAATTTAAATAAAACTTCGCACACATATAGTATAAGACGGGACACATTGAAAGACATGTCTAATTTTGTAGCTATGGCAACAGATTCATTCCTAGGTCCCTTGTGCCAATTTTGTAATATGGCTTAAAACTTGCTAACAATAAGATAACAGAATATAAGAGTTGTGCTAACTATAAATACAAAAGATGAAGATTTTCGCTGAATCAGCAATCTATATTTTTTCAAAATGGCGCATGTTTTATGTCTTCAAACCACTTTCAAACTCGTATAATTTCGCAAACAAAAGAGATAGAACATTAAACAGCCATTCGGTCTATTTTTGCATGATCTTTCCAATGAGAAAATAAAAAATTTGCTTGCCATTGTCCTTTAATTTTCACAAACAAAGCAATATGCAAAGGCCCAAATTGGAAGCATTGGTCAGCGAACAAATTTATTTTTAAATGATAATAATTAGGAGTTTAAAAAATGAGATGGAATTAATTAGCAGTTAATTAACAAATTAATGTCCCACCAAAGATTTTAGAAAGGGCCATTCTGAAATTGGTTGCATTGTTAAACATTTCGATGAGTTGTGGAATGACGTTGTCATTCAACATATTAAGATAAGCATTGCCGATGAGCATTGCCATTCAACATATTAAGATAAGCATTACGGCAAAAATGGTTATTGAGTATTCTGAGTTTGAAAACCAGTCTCATGTATAAATCATATATTACTCGTGTATTAATGTTGTAAGTTTTTGTTGCATGTCCTACCGACGGTTTGTACCGTCCTTTGTTTGTTTGTTCTTGCGTGTACAATAAAAAATATTGATATTGTTATTAACAGGGTTGAGTGTGCCAACAGCTTATTAAGCAGTGAAACTGATCACAAAGAGTCTTCTGTGGACAAATTTGTAGCATCCATGAGAGCTCTAACGGAGAGACAAGCGAGAAATGTTCGATGGGCAATCATTAACAAGGGACCCTACCAACTACACCATGGCTTATCGCATTTGCAGCTAATGGAGGAAACCTGGTTTCAGATGAGCGAAGACGAGAAGGAATCATACCTTAAAATGGTTCTTCAAGCCGATGTATCTCTAACTGCAACGTGTACTTCAGAAACCCTTAAGATATGCACTCTGGACGACCACTCACCTTCCGCATTTTCGACGAATGATACTGCCACTCACGGTTTGTCCATTCTTGCCAAAGCAGCAATTTCCATGCTTGATTTTGACGAGGATTCTGGTAATACCGAAGCCACCCCGGAAATGTCTGATGGCTTGGAAGAGAATTGTTTAGATGAAAATGCTGATATAGGATTCGTTTCCTCTCTACCTCGCCAGACGGTTGTCGTTGATAGGGTGCCAAATCCACGTACAGACAAACTAAACTTGGCCAAAGGTTTTGCATCTCCCGCAAATTTTGCATCTCCCGCAAATAAAAAGTACGAAAAAATGATGGGACTGCACGAATTTAGCCAGTTCTTCACCGACCAACCACCGGAGACTGTTAAGGGTATATATGATAAAGCAAAACTTCTTTTGGGCAAGCCAAATGGAATTGTTCCTGCCCCAGGGTGTGATTCAAAAGCACGAATGGTTGAAAGTACAAGGCTTAAAGAACGTCCTCATCTTGTTGCGCCAGGAAAAAACAAGGGGAGTATCTGTGAAAAGAATTGTCCTCATTTTAACGGTATCAGGATTTGTGCTCATTCCGTCGCAACGGCACAGCAAAATGGGGAACTATCTGCCTTTTTGTCTTGGTTTCGGCAGAATTTCTCCAAAAAAGGTGTGAAACTTACAGCGACCGCAAAAACAGACATGCCCCAAAACCCTGGACGCAAAGGAGGTAAACCACCTACATACAAAAGGGAAGCAAAACTTCCAGTTGCTGAGCGAGTAAAACGTACATACACGGAACCAGCACCCCTACAGGCCCAGTCACCCAACACCAACCCGTTTTATTTGAAGAAGATGAACACGAGAATAAAGGTTTGTCAAGGTTGCCGTGGGTCTTTAAAATCTGCCAAAAGCGCTTTACAACATCCTCCATTCGATTATTGCGTTGCAAGAGAGGAGCGTCGACTCTTTAATGATCGTAAAAGCGGGGAGCTGCGAACCCCAAACCGAGAAACGGCAGCACATTATCA